ATTTATGCAACTCCCATTTAACCAAATTAAAAGCACCCCCCGGGAGCCTGGCAGGGCACCAAGCCTCGCCTGAGCAGAGCCTGGGCTCCGACTCATCCCATTGATGATTTCATCTTCCCTTGTTTCGTGATGAAATGAGCAATTGTTTAAGCACTCAAGAATTCCAGTCCTGCTTCGGGCAGTGCCGGCACCCATGATGGGAATGGTGGGATGAGCCTCACTGCGCTTCCCACACCAGCTATTATCCCATTTTCTGACCCAAGCAGCGGGCTGTGTCCTGGTGCACGCTGTGAGTCATCCCTCCAGCCTAACCCTACCTGGCTGCGGTGTAAACAGCAGGCCATAAACACTCCCTGTGTCACAGATAGCACCAGCCACCCTGTCCCCATTGCCACCGCCGCTCCCTGGACCCGTGCTTCTGCCTGCAATCCCAGCACTGCTTTAGTGACACCGAAGGACATCCCACCCTTGTGTCCCCAGCCGCAGCGCCTGGATGCTGGGCCAGAACCCTGGAGCAGAACTGGGCCTGGATGGGGTGAATGTGATGCAGAACTAGCATGGAAGTGCCCATAAGGCTATAAGCCAAGGTGCCAAACAGACGAGGACTGTGCTGGCACCTCCTAGGACCACTTAGGAAAGTGAAGGAGTTTCGATGGGCTGCAGTTCACTTCTATTTGGGTTGTAAGGGGCCTTAAAGCTCATCGAGTTCCAACCGCCTGCCATGGGATTCCCAAAGCCCTGCCACCAGTGCCGGGTGTCAGTGCTGGAGAGAGAGCATCCCAGCTCCATTGTTTTCTTAATCCCAGCCTCCATTATTTTGTCAGTGCCGGTGCTCACACACACTGAACACGGGGCTGTCTGCCTGCCGGGATTTGATGTCTATGGGAGCCTGGGCTGAGCGTGGGGTGGGAGCAGGCTCCAGCTCTGAAAATAGCCGTGTGTGCTTTACACATGCCTGGCGGCTCAGCTCCTGTAAGAGGAGATGGGAATGGAAGGCAGCTCCTTGCCAGAGCCCTTAAAGAGCCCAGGTGGGATCGCAGCCCGCGGGCTCTGCTCTCCCATCCTCACCGCACCGCACTAGGACCCGGAGCGGCTCCCGGAGCCAAGCGCACGCTGCCGGCTTCCCAAATATAGCCCCGCACATAGCGTGGAGCAGGGGGTGTGGGGACCACGCTGCCCTTTCACCCCCAAACCACCCCAGCAACACGCTCCGAGGAGGATTAAACACTCAGCATGGCGGGGACGTGCTGGGTGAGGTGGGAATCAGTGTTCCCTGGCTCCGCACGCAGCGAGCAGGGACCTCACCGGGGTCCCAGGAATCTCTGAGCCGGGAATGCTTTACTTAGTTTGGAAATAGCTTTGCTGGTTTTGACAGCCTGAGCTGTTTGGGTTCTGCATTGCTGCCTCAGTAACTCAGCTGCCTTTTTTTCCTGCCCCAGTTGCCTGTGGAATCGTTTCTGGTTGGGGAATTTCTTTCCATTTACTTCATCATGAGGCTGCTTTTACCACCCCAGTTCCTCATCCAGCTTCTCTCCCTTATCCTGCTGGGATATAAACTCATGGCTGCCCTGAGGAGCTCATCTCTATCTCACTGCAGTGCTGGGCCTGGTGCTGCCCATAAAGCAGGCACCCTGTGCTCCTCTGGCATGGGCCAAGCCACTCCTGGCTTCAATTCTTTAACAAGGAAAGAGTTACCATCTTCAAGGTAACTTCAACACATTTATGGGTGTTTGCAGTAGTTATAGGTGGTGCCTCTTTGGGTACAGTCCCAGCTCAGGCACCGGGTGATGCTGTAACAGAAAACCAGGGCAGGAAGGGTTAAAATGACTTTAATTAACCGATCCCTCTGGTCCCGCCTCCTGTAAGAGTATACAGCTCACCCTGCTAACCCAGCCAGGAGGCACTGCACATGCCCAGGCATCCAGGCAGGCAGGAGGGATGGGTTACACTCTCCTCTGCACGGTAATGCTCTCAGCAAAACCACTGTAGGAGCCTGGGTAGGGCTTGTAGCCATCAAAAGGGCATCATAGAGCTGGCATCCTCCGCAGGCGCCAGGGAATGACACAAACCCCAGTCAAATCCAAGCCTCTCCTGGGAATCTGTGTGTGCTGTGGCTGGGAAGCACCCGGCTGGAAATGGGGTGAGAAGCACCCAGCTCCCTGCACCCATCTCCCCTGCTCCTGTTCCTGGTGCGGGGTGATGGTAGTGATGGAGGGGGAGCAAGGAGAGCTCTAGAAAAACAACTTTCTGTGCCTAAAATAGCTCAGAGGGTGGTTGCTGGGCTGGTGGTGGGGAACACAACCGGATTCCACTGTGCTCGGTGCCCGTGTGGAAGCCATGGTGCAATCCTGCTTTAGTCCCTGCCACCGTGCCAGCAAACACCCCCGCTGCCCCATTGCCACCAGGTCTGCGTGGCACAGGCTGTCATTATCTTGCATTTCCAGCCTGACCGCTGGGCCTTCGTCTGTAATTAGCTCTTGGGATTTAGGAGCTCGTATGATCCGGGTTATCGGTAACCACCAGAGCCGTGCTGGGATTTAAAGGGACGGCGCATCTATCCGCGCTGCCTCCGTGTGCCGCCTCGGAGCCATTCAACAGAGAGATGAGTCCCTCCCCAAAGCCTGGGCATGCCCTCGCCCTGCTTTTTTGGCCACAGTCGATGCGATCCCAAGCAAAGCAGAACAGCTTGGAAATGCTCCTGCCAAGCTTTATGGGTCCTTGCCATCACCTCGGTTTTCATCACCCCAAGATAAATGCTATAGGCAGCCCCCACAGAGCTGCACTGGTCACTGCTTTCCCTTGCAAGCCGTCATTCCCCATGTGCAAGCTCCCCATCCCTGCCACTGCCGTCCCCTCACTCAGCCCCTCACCTTGGGGTCTCATTGGGGTTGATGATGCCAGCTGGGGTGCATACTCACAGGGTCTAGGGAAGCCAAGGCAGGGCAGCCCGCCAGCCCGTGTCCATCTGCGCTCCTCTTCCCTCCTGTGCTCTCGCCTCCTTCCCTCGCCCGCGGCACTCCAGCGAGGCAGAAATAGCCCCAAAACACGGGGAAGCGATGCCAGGGGCTGAGCAGCCCCAGTGCCCCGGGCACAGCCTTCCCTGGGGGGCTCCGGTGATGGCTCCGGAGAGGAACACCTCCAGTTATCCAAGAGGATAAATTCTGCCTCGGAGTTTCTCACCTGGCAACAGTCACCAAGGAAACCCAGGCGGCGGGTACCCACTGGCACTGCCCGGGGGGTCCCTGCCGTGCGGGATGAGGGGCTCCCTCTGCTCTCCCCGTGTCTGTGTGGGATGAGGGCCAGCCTCTGCTCTGCAACCTGAGCCCATGGAGCTGGGCATGGCCCTCACGCCGCCGCTTGGGATTCAAGGGAGGGTTCTGCCAGGTTTGGGATGGGTTTGGAGGGTTTCCCAGCCTCTGTGCCCATTGTGGTACGTGGGGAGGTGACCTGGAGCTGCTCCAGGCTCCCGGGGGTTCCCAGTTGCTGGCACCAGGGATGTGGGGCACTTGTGTTAACAGCAGCAGGGCACCCATTGCTCTGGAAATCCATTGCTGCTGGGGGGACGGACACCAGCTCTTGCTGCCCCTCGGGAGGCTATGCATGCCTCCTGACGCATGGCAATCCCTATGGATAGCACCTCTGGTCATGCCTCTTCCCGGCCCCTGCCTGGCTCTCACTGGCAGTGCCTCCCCTAGGCACAAAGGCAGGCGTTATCGCTTCCAGCGAGTCCTTTTGGCCCTGGTGCAGCTAATTCTGGCACAGCAAAAAGCTTCCTGCAAACCTGGCACTGCTGCTGGTCCCATAATGGGAACAACTGTTCCCAGCATAACTGGAGCTGAGTGGGACAGGGCTGTGTCCCACCAGCAGCATGGGGTGAACAGCAGCCCCAGATATCGTTGTGTGTGGCTCTGATACGCTGCAGGAACCTCATCAATCATTAACCACCGGTGGTTCCCTGCCCATGGCGTGGCTCTGGGCAGCTCCTCACACACTGCAGTGTGTGAGGCTGCGGTGAGGGGCTGCGCCCTGGGTAACCCTGGGGCTGTGGGATGCCTGGAAGCATCTCAGCATCCTTGGCACGTGGATGGTCAAGGTAGTGCTGCTGGCACTGGGTGGTTTAGCACAGGCCCAGGTGAGCTCGTGGGATCCTTGTTTGGTCCCTGGTGTGGCTTTGGGAGGTCTCATGTCATAGAATCATGGAATCATGGAACGGTTTGGGTTGGAAGGGACCTTAAAGCCCCATCCAACCTGGATTTGAACACTGCCACCTCATATTGAGCTTTTCATTCCCTGCCCCACTGTCTGAGGGTCCCCCCCCGCCTCCCTGCTCCCAGCCAGGTGCCTGCTTGGGCTGGTTGGTGTTTCTCTTGCAGGCAGCACAGGACCTATTGATGCTCAGGGTGTGCTTCCTTAGCACGAAGTAGCAGCAGTGAGCAGTGATGTCCTCAGAGCAGCACAGAGGGGACCCTGGGTGGCCAATGGAGCCGTGCACACCATGAGGGGCTGAAGAGATGCATCCACACAGGGATTAGGCAGCAAGGAGGCAGGGATAGAGCAGGCACTAACTCAGCTGCCCATCCCATGGTTGCCAGGCCATGTCCCTGCCACATTGATGGAGACACAAAGCAGCCGGGTGGGTGACGCAGTGCTGTGCCATGCTGTGCTATGCCACCCAATGTGGTGTGCAGCCCCATGGCATTCCATGTCCCAGTGGCCACCGGCCTGGCACGACCCACTGGGATTAGGGAAGCCGCAAAGAGTAAACCATTTAAATCCAGATTAGGTTTAAGCAGCTGCTGAGCAAAGGGGATGTGAGAGGGGCAGCACAGCGGGGACGAGAAGGTAAGAGGCTGTTTGGATGCAAGAAGGGGTTAATGGGGGTCCAGACCCGTGGGGCATCTCCAGTGGGGCTGGGAATGGGGTGAGATGCTCCCTGCCATGGGGAGAGCAAAGGAGGATGCAGCATGGGGACACAGCAGGCTCCTCACTTCATAGGTGCTGAAGAGAGGCCGTCCCTCCCCAGGGAGCATGTTCCACCTCTTCTCCCACTGCTGGTCGTGGCTGCAGGCCATACAGGAGCCCATCAGGTAGGTCCCTGTGTGCTCTCCTTGGGGATTGCCAGGGGGGTTTATCCATGAGCTTATCAGTGAGGGCACTGATGCAGGAGCACCGTGAGAGCTGTGCTCATTGCAGGGACTGGCCCCAACTGCAGAGCGAGGCACACGCGTGTCCTCACAGGCAGGAGCTGGGCGGGCAGGGGTGGGAACACTGCCAGTGGGGTTCCCCGGGGAGGATGGGGATACCTGAAGGGGGCCAATAGAAACCTGGAGAGGGGCTTGGGACAAGGGCCTGTAGGGACAGGGCAAGGGGAATGGCTTGAACCTGCCCGAGGGGAGACTGAGCTGAGCTCTTAGGCAGAAGCTCTTCCCTGTGAGGGTGCTGAGGCGCTGGCACAGGGTGCCCAGAGAAGCTGTGGCTGCCCCATCCCTGGCAGTGCTCAAGGCCGGGTTGGACACAGGGGCTTGGAGCAAGCTGCTCCAGTGGAAGGGGTCCCTGCCCGTGGCAGGGGTTGGGGCTGGAGGAGCTTTGAGGTCCCTTCCAACCCAAACCAGGCTGGGATTTGCATGTGCTGGGAGACCCAGGTTAATTCCCTGGGGATGGCGCTGCCCCAGCCCGGGCAGACCCTGCAGCAGTGAGAGGTTTCATGGCCCTGTCCCTCCAACCAGGACACGTTGCTGTAATGCCAGCAGCAGGGCTGCAGCACCCACAGTGTGTTTAAGGAGGAAAACAACACTGGGAACCACTGCTATACCAGGGGAAACGTTCTGTGCATTGCTGCACACCAAACAGGGCGGTTTGGCAGCAGGAAAAACCTCCTGAGCCCAGGCAGAAGCTCATAAAATGCCCTTGCTACCTCTCCCTGGCTGTGTAAACCCACAGCCCTCTACAAGGAAGGGCACAAAGAGCAATCATTAACTGTCTGCATGTAAGGAGTGAGTGATCATTTTGGCCTGTGCATATCATTGCTTAATCCTGTGCGATATGGAAAGGAATCCTTGATGTATGTAGCACGTTGAATGGTCTGTCCCATTGTGCTGGGGTGGGTTCCATCAGCCTGCCCTCATCCTCAGCTCATCCAGAGCCTGTATCACCATCTCCTGAGGTAGCAGTTAACCACGGGCAGGGTTAGGGGAGCCCTGGAGCCAGCAGTGGTCAGTGGTCCCCAAGGGAGCACAGCCTGTCTCTGGGATGCGCACATCCCATTGTCACTCCACAGGAAGGTCACGCTCCTCGTGCTGGGACTGGACAACGCTGGGAAAACCTCTGTCATCATGGACCTAGACAGAGGTGAGGAGCTGCACTGGAGGCAGCAGCTTTATGGTCCTTTGCAACCAAGTGCTTGAGCCTTGCAGGACCAAGGCCCACCTGCAGCTGGCAGTGGGATGGGGAGCGGGAGGCACAGAGCACAGGGATGCTGCGGGCTCACCGCCCCGGTTCTCTGCCCTCTGCTGCCCGCAGCACTGCCCAGCGAGGGGCTGCCCACGGCACAGCCGGGCCAGAGCCGCCTGCGGGTGGAGCGCTTCGAGGTGACCCTGCTGGACCTGCCCGGGGCCCCGCGCTCCCGCAGCGCCTGGCGCAGCCACTACAGCGCAGCCCATGGGCTCCTCTTCGTGCTGGACTCCAGCGACCTGGCACGGATGGAGGAGGCCCGCAGGGTCCTGAGCCGCGTCCTGAGCCACCCTGATGTCTCCGGGAAGCCCCTCTTATTGTAAGGCTGGGTCCTAGGGATGAGACCTGTAGGGTTTGAGGTGAAGGAGGGAGCGGGGACTCGTTGCTAGGACTTGGATGCTGAAGGGATGTGGTACCTAAGGGGCTGTTGGGAGGATGCTGGGACAAGGGGACCTCAGTGATGCTTTAGGGGTATCCCTGGGGTGGGGTTTCAGTGCCTGGCAAAGGCTTGGGCAACACTTCACCTAATCATAGCCAAACTGGGAGAAAGCATCCAGCCTTCCCTGCGGCCAGGCGCCCAGAGGCCGGGGTGATGGTCACGCTCCTCTCTCCCCATGCGCCAGGCTGGCCAACAAGCAAGACGCAGCGTCTGCCCTGCTGCCCTGCGAGCTGATCGAGCGCCTGTCCCTGGAGCGCCTGGTCAACGAGAACCGCTCCCCCTGCCGCATCGTGAGTGCGGGGCTGCCCCGCTGCCGGTGCCCGCTCCGCGGTGCCCGTCGGGGTTAACCCTGCCCCTCCGCCGCAGGAGCCCTGTGCCGCCAAGCGGGGCCCCGCCGCCGGCCCGCCCCGCACCACGCTGCAGGGGCTGCGCTGGCTCCTCCGCACCATCCCCACCGGCCCGGCCCCGGCCCCGCCGCCCGCCGCCGCTCCGCAGCCCGGCCCCGGCCCCAGGGCAGCCCGCGGCCGCCAGCCCGCCCGCAGGTGGGTGCGGGGGTCCCGGGGTGCCCGTCCCTGTTCCCCGTTGTCCCCATCCCCATCCCGACCCCTCGCTGTGCTCTCGGCCCAGCAGGGACCCGCTGCTCCCCGCGGAGGATGCCCGGGATGGCGCGGGGATAACGGGAGAGAACCGGGTACCGCGGCCCGTGCCTCGCCTCCTGCCCCTGGTGAGCGCCCCCCTGGGATGGGATGGGGTGGGATGGGATGGGATGGGATGGGGTGGGATGGGGTGGGGTGGGATGGGAGTGGGATGGGATGGGATGGTGGGATGGGATCGGATGGGATGGAGTGGGATGGGATGGGGTGGGATGGGATGGAGTGGGATGGGATGGGATGGGATGGGATGGGATGGGATGGGGGGATGGGATGGGATGGGATGGATGGGTGGGATGGGATGGGATGGGATGGGTGGGATGGGATGGGATGGGATGGATGGGTGGGATGGGATGGGATGGGATGGGGGGGATGGGATGGGAGGGGGATGGGATGGGATGGGATGGGATGGGTGGGATGGGATGGGATGGGATGGGATGGGATGGGATGGGATGGGATGGGGTGGGATGGGGTGGGATGGGATAGGGTGGGATGGTGGGATGGGGTGGGATGGGATGGGGTGGGATGGGATGGGATGGGATGGGGTGGGATGGGATGGGGTGGGATGGGATGGGATGGGATGGGGTGGGGTGGGGTGGGATGGGATAGGATAGGATAGGGATGGGGTGGGATAGGGTGGGATGGGATGGGATGGGGTGGGATGGGATGGGATGGGATAGAAGGGGAGTTCCGATGCTTTCCCTCTCCACCCTTACCCTGCCCAGGAGGACAGCGCTAAGGGCACTGGGAGGAAGAAGAGGAAGGTGAAGGTGAGGAAGAAGAGCCTGGGCCAGCCAAACCCAGCCGAGGAACCGGAGGGACCAGGAGGAGGGGGTGACGGCCGAGTGGGGGCTGCTGGGGGGCTGCTGCCCCCCAACAGGGTCGGGCAGGAGGAGCTGGTGCCCACAGCGATGGCCACCCTGCAGCCAGGTGAGAGGGGCTGGGGGGCTGCACTGCACACAGGGACCCCAGGGCCACCCCACAGGGTGTTCTGGGGACAGCACAGCAGAGCTGCACCCCCGCTCCCTGCCACCTCCATCAGATCAGCTGGGCACAGAGCGGGGTCACAGAGATCCAGCTGGGAAGAGGAGACATCCGTGAGCATCTCACAGGGGCTGATGTGTGGAGGTGATGGAGGACTGCACCAGCCGCAGTCCTCTCGGTGGTTCGGTGACAGTCGCATCCCTGCTCTGATGTAGCTCCTCACGTTGTGCATTCCTCCATCCAGTGCAGGCCGTGAAAAAGAAAAAGAAGAAGAAAATCAAGAATAAAATCAAGTCGCAGGATCCCGCTGTGGAGCAGCAGCATGAGGAGGTCTCAAGCACCTTCGGTTCGTATTTCCCAGGGCAGATGCTGCTGGAAAGCACTTGGGGTCTGTCCTGTTAGCAGAGGGCCATAAGGTGTGCACGAGCACTTGGCCATGGGGTGCTTGGTGTGGGGACAGCACAAGCAAGTGCTGCTGCAGGGCTGGGGGGGTGTTGGGGAGGCAGATGTGCCACCTCTGGGATGTGGGAGGCCACCAGAGTGCCCTGTGCTGGAGCCTGGCTGGCTGCTGGGCCCTGGAGCTGCCCCTGTGCTCAGCCCTCCCCATGTCCCTCCTGCAGACCTGTACCGCCGGGCGATGCTGGCCCTGAAGATGAGGCAGGAGCAGAGGAAGCAGCCGTCTGCCATCGCCCCCTGAGCACGGACAGCACATCCCAAGGGATGCGTGGCTCCGAGGAGCCCCACACTGCAGTGGGACCCATGCTCAGGCAGGGCCTATGGGGTGCTTGGCCAGGGCTGGCAGTCCTGGGGCATGAACAGCATCATTGTCCTCTGCACGGCTGGAAAACCAGGGATCGCAGGAGCGAGCCAAAGCCCCTTTGTAAGATGCCTCTCTGGCAGCCGGGCTGCAGTCCTGAGTGAAAGGGGAACAGCGGGCACTTCCCAACCCTGTGTTAGTATGCTGTGGAAGGCTCGGTCTGAACCCGGCTCAGTGTGTGGGAAAGAGGAAGATCAGAGCAAGCATCCCAGGGGAAAAGCCCCTCTCGAGCTGACCTGTGCCCAGGCAAAGCTGTCTGTGCAGGTCAGGGGTTCATTCAGCCCCTCATTCAGTCCCTGGTTGCAGCTGGACAAGTCTCTTTCCTGCTGGTGAAGGTGGTCATGGAGGGTCTGCAGAGGAGCTTCATCCATCCCCACTGGCATCACTGACAGTGGGCACCCTGCAGCCCCCCTGGTGTGTGCTCTGCGACTGGACCACGAGCACCATCTGCATCCCAACACATCCGCGTCCAGCAAAGTGATGCTATCACAGGGACTTGGCTGTATCCAGAGGGCTCCGGGTTGGTCCATGTGCTGGGAAACCATCCATCAGCCCAGGAAACACTGGACATGAAGTCACTGGTGCAGCAGTTTTCCCTTCCTGGCTTGACCCGTGCTCAGCAGCACAACCTGAATCAGCTCTGCTCCCATGGTTACTGATTAACAGGCACTGCCTCTGTGGTCCGGGGGAAGAACAATCACTGAGGCCCTTCCCTGGGCAGGGCTGAGAAGGGAAAGGAAGAGAAACTGGGGCTGCTCCACCTTGACCAGCCTGCTGTGAAGTCTGCATCACTCGGGTTCAACTGCCAGGGACAGAGCCACCAGTGACCAGGTGGTCTTGAAGGTCCCTTTCAACCCTAACCCTTGATTCTATGACATAATGGACATTAATAGACTGCTAATAGGAACAGCACAGGTTAATACTGGCCTATAAATGCAACACTTTTAGTAACCCTTTGTCTCTGTGTGGTGGAGATCCCTGTGGTGCTGCTGCTGTGAGTGATGCGGGAGGGCGAAGCAGGGACCTGTGCCTGCGGTGGAGCCCCTTCTCCTATGGTCAGGGCTATGTGTGCCCTCATGGGGACCCACTGGGGTTACCAATCAGTCTCCTTCCAATGGATCACTTCCATGGGGTGCTCCCTGTGCCTCCTGGTGGTTTGGGTCCTTGGTATGGGCACCAAAGCTGGAGAAGACACCAGTGAGACCAGTCCAAAGGCAGAACTGGCCTGGCTGGTGCTGCGGGGCAGCTGAGTGAAACTTGCCCTGGGAGTGAGCTCTGAGAAACCGGTTCTGTTCATCTCACACACTTTCCCCTGGTCCCCAGTGAGTGATGAAGACAGGCGGTTCTCATGTGTTCCAAAAGCAAGCCCCTTTATCCTGGTGTTTCCATGGCTGTAGAGCCGCTAAACCCTACAGCATCCAGGAGCCAATCCTGGTCTGCACCTACCAAGGGTTTTTATCTTCTATAGAAGGTGAGCAGCAACCACCCTGTGTTAAAAATGGCCTATCCCAAAGCCAGAAACATCTCAGAAATGGGATCTTGGGACCTACGTGATCAAAGATAACCTGAAAGTATCAATTAATGGCCATGGGCAATGGGTTGGGCTGCTCCTGCCATGTGTGAAGAGCAGTGATTGGAGCAGGAGGTGCGTTCTGGAATGGGCAGGGCTCCTTTTGCCATTGTTCTCTTCCTGCTATCCATCTTACAGCCTTACAGCTCAGTAACCAGCAAGGGAAGGAGGAGTGCTTGGTCCTGCTGCCAGTGGGGCGAGGTGCAGCTCTGCCCAGGCACGTCCCATCTGCTGGCAGGTGCACCCAGCACCAGTGCTTGCCTTGGGAACACGTCCCATGGGGGACTGGCACCTTCCCACAGATCCTGGGTTTGTTGGGGAGCACTGAGCCTCCAAGTGCCAAGACAAATGAAGTGATGCAGCAGCAACCACCCCAGGGAGATCCATCCTCAGTCTGTTGATGCAGGAAGTCCGTGGTACCAACAGCATCTTATGCAAGGAGCAGCTTTGCATTAATCCATTTTATATTATCTAGCACATCCTTCTGTGCAGGTTTCCAAAGGGGCTGGCTCAGGTGGGTCAGGCCAGGCCAAAGCTGGTTCCTGCTGCCACGGGTGTTTATCGTGGGTTGTGGATGTGTTCATAGCAACCTGGTGACACAGGAGTGTGTTTTGCATGTCTGCATCCCACTTCCCCTCGATGATGCTCATTCAGGGTACCATTCGTCACGGCCACCGGCAGCTCTCTCCATGGCACGTGTCCTTCTAAGCCTGAAGGATGGAGGGCAACAGGGAGGCTGCACTTGTCTGAGCTTTGCAAGCTGCTGATGGAGCTGGATGGCGAAGGGAGGAGGTGAGGAGCTGTTCCAGGGAGAGCCTGTGGGCACACACCCACGCCTGGTCCCTCCTCCTCACACCAGCGCTGCTTTGCACAACCGCGTTTTGCCTGATGCCTGTTGTCGCTATTGAAATCGAACTGTGTGGGAGGAAGAGTGAAGGGGAGGAGGCAGAGTGCGGCTCAGCTGAGAAGAGGGGTGGGGAGAACAGGGCTTGGGCAGGGATGAACACACTGCCCAGCCCTCCTGTGTACAGGGCATCTGGAAGAGATGAGGGAGAGCAGGGCAGATGGGACCATGCGGCCCTGACTCTGCTGTGCTGTCTCCTGCTTCTTTATGCTGGTTGGGCTTAACCAGCACTTACACTTCATTGTAACCCTTCCTTGCTCCTCTGTACCCCCAGGAGAGGATGAGGAAGGTGATGTTGACTGAAACCCCCACTGAGAGCTCTTGACTTGTCCCACAGATGCGGCCAGGGCAGGAGATCCCCCATGGCACATCTCCTGCTATACCACCACTGTTGTATTGCATTAATAAAAACCAAATCAGGTATATTTCCCCCCCTGTATGAGCCTTGCTGGGGCAGTGTGAGCCACCGTGGGTCTCACCATCATTACCACCTTTCCAGAGATGCTTTGGGAATCAGGCTTCCTGGCACCTGCAGTGAGGATACACCATGCCCCAAGAGACAGGACAGGGGAGGTGAGCCCAGGTTTGGGATGCTCCATGTGTCAGGGCTCCTTGTCCACTCTGTCATTAACCCCAAAGTGCAGGAGAGGGAGCCAGAGACTGGGATTTGAACATTGCCCAGAGAAGCTGTGGCTGCCCCATCCCTGGCAGTGCTCAAGGCCAGGTTGGACACAGGGGCTTGGAGCAAGCTGCTCCCATGGCAGGGGTTGGAGCTGGAGGAGCTTCAAGGTCCCTTCCCACCCAAACCACCCTGGGATTTAGTGCTGTAAAGGCAATTGAGTGCAAACAACACTTGTTAAGGGGTGCGTTGTGAGGCAAATGCAATGGGTCACATCCTGTAGGGTGCCTGCAGGTGCTCCTCATTCCCTCCCTATAATTGCTATCACAAGTTGTAGGGCATATATATAGCCAGGGGAAGGGTAGGGCTCTCTTGGGGTGGTGAAGGTCTTTCCTGTGCAGTTCTCTCTCTGTTCTGTCCCAAAGGTAAAAAGTTAATGAACTTATAACAGTAGTAATGAGCTGCTCTTGCCCTACAGCAGCAGTAGCTGGTGGGAGCGAGCAGCCTCTGCTCCCTGGCTTTGCCATCCCTTGGGATAAGGCTGGATGTATCACAAGCATGCTGACCAGGCAGCGCTGAGGTTTGGAGCTCTTTCTCAGGTTGCAGTGTTGCTGAAGGCTGGTTGTGGTATGTATGTGCTTAAGTAGATATATATGAGCAAGGTTATTGGGTTTTAAACCTCGGAATGGGTGTTTGGGTTGGTGAAAGCCTGGGGTGGGTGGGTTTTGCAGCTTGAGAAGTTGGTTGTTATATAAATAGAGGATGTTCAGGTTGGAGATAAGGCAGAAGCTCTTCCCTGTGAGGGTGCTGAGGCACTGGCAGAGGGTGCCCAGAGAAGCTGTGGCTGCCCCATCCCTGGCAGTGCTCAAGGCCAGGTTGGACACAGGGGCTTGGAGCAAGCTGCTCCAGTGGAAGGGGTCCCTGCCCCTGGCAGGGGTTGGAGCTGGAGGAGCTTTGAGGTCCCTTCCAACCCAAACCAGGCTGGGTTCCTGTTGTTCTATGTACGCTCTCCCATGGCTGCAGCTCCTACCCTTTGTCTCAGGTGGGCTGGGAGCCAGCAAGCTCCTGGGGCAGCTTCCCAGCTGAGTCAGAAAGAGGAAGCATTTGGAAATACTCCTGTTTCTTCTGGGTAAGAGCACCAGGGCAGGGCTGATCTCCATGGCAGCAGTCCCAGCATGGGCTGAAAGGTGCTGGTGTGTGATGTCGGGGCAGCTTGCCCTCTTCCAGCTCTCACTGAATGATGAATGACCATGAACAGGGGCTCTGCTGGGTATTTGTCAGTTGTAGATCCTCTGTTGTATCCTGTTAAAGATGAGAGCTGGGTTGTTTGCTGTCATGTACCCTGCAGAGCTATTGGGGGAAAGCAAGGCGATCAGGTGAGAGTAACTCCTTAAGCCGCTCTTGATTCTTATGGAAGAGGCTATGAGGACTTTGCAGGGAAAGAGATGGTAATGAGGACTGGGAATGAAGGAAATGTGAAAACTCTCCCTTCCTAGGTTAAATGAGCCTTGTTGGAGCTGGTTTTGCTGGCAGGAGGAGGAAGGAAGGAATCAAATCTGCTTAATGGATGTATTTGTCTCAGGGCACAAGGGAATGTGCTGGGGTCTGAGCTATATGGGTTTGTCACAACACAGACCAAATATATTTGGTGTTCCCCCCCTTAGAAAAAGCTTGGCTTTAAAAGGGGATGTTTTCAACTAAAACTGGTGGTGTCTCCTAAGTTATCACTCCAAGTCACTGCGTATT